AGCAGGAATAAAGTCAAATACTGGTAGTTTTCAAACAAAGTAGGAAGTTTAAGAAGAAAAGTTCTCTACTTCAAATATCTGATGAAGGTCTGAGAAGAGTTCCCTTGCTACTGAGATATAAGGATCTCCATTATGAATATCCTGCTAGAGGTAAACTTGTTGAAAAGCTTCTGTGAACTCTTTTGGGTTAAGATTTTCAGAACCACCCTTGGTCACAGTCTTCATACAATTAATGGAAATAAACCACACAAACCCCCTAGATGACTAAAATATGTGATTGTGACTCAAAATATTTTTGGCCTATGGTACATGGAGGGCTGCTCTTTGGGCTTGCCATCATCCTTGTCAATTTTGTTTAGCTTGTTTTATACATGTGGAAGGAAACATCTTGTGGTGTAGTTTGGGGTTGCAATTTTGGATTATTGGTCATTGAGGCAGGAAAGAAGAAAATAGGTGAATGTTTTTGGGTGCTTCCTGAGGCAGGAAGTGGTGCCTTTAATTTATCGGTTTTGGAAATTATGAAATTCAGTGTATAAAGCACTACATACTGTATTTTAAGTGTTTGATAAAAGATGCAACCAAAGTATTCTGATTAAGTTCATCTCTTCACTGAACAGCTTTATTCACATTATATAATCTGACCATACTACTGCCACAATGTCAATTATATAAGATAGACACTCCGATTCTTCAGATTTTATGCATATCCTTGAATTGTACAGGTTATTTAGCCTGACTGCTTTCTAACCTAATATGTTAATTTCACTCTAGTTCTCCAATTGCAAAAGATGACACTAGAGGGCCTGGCAAGCAGGGGTGTGGCCAAGAACCAAAACTGTATCCCTTATCTGGGAATGGAGTCCTGGATGTTAAACAAGATGAGACCAAGGATTCCAGGATGCATGCCTCACTAGGCTCCATTCTCTTGCCACCTGGTGGCTCCACTCCCAGTGCAGAGCTGCTGGGGGTTAGCCATGGAGAGAGCACGGACCCCAAGGGAAGCACGCTTTCCCAGGCTCCAGGTTCTTGCCATACTTCATCCCAAGCAGCCCTTTTCCCCCTCTCCCCCAAAACACAAGAGGCTAAGGAGGGAAGCCATACCCACCTCTCCCCCATCCAAACTCTCTTAGCTAGGGGACAGCCACCTGAATGTGGGATAAAGGCATAGCCCTCTGAAGGGAGGACTTTGGGCCTGGCCCCTGGCCCAGGGGACTAAAATGGCTCTCTTTGGGTCCTTGGATGTGGCAGCATGATGCCATCTGGGCTGGGGTCATAACCACTATGGGCAGTTGAAGGTGTTAGCTTGGGGCCAGTATCACACCCTGAACAGTAGAGCTTGGGAGGGTAGAAAGTGGTAAAGGGGCAGGATGCTAGATGACTACAAATTGGTTGCTTTATCTCTGTGAAGCAGACTCACAGTACCTTAGCTCAAACTAGGTAGAATGGCTCAGAGATAACCCTCACCCAAAGTGGCATAATTTTAAGATGCCTAGAGGTTATTTAGTACAGATTAACACCCTTCAATGCATGGACACTCCTGTTTTAAGTGACTTTAGAACAGTTTAAAAGTAACCTGCAACACCACCTCATGTCATTTCAACTCTATTTGACCCAGTCAAGTGATGAAATTCTGCCTGTATTCTTTGTAGAGCAGGTTACAAAGCTTCATAATGTTGACACAACTTATTTAATAACAAGCAAAAGTTAATTTCTTACCTACCCAATATTTATTCTCACAAAACTAACTCATATTGTCCTGTAAATAATAGTAAGAAACTTCATTTACAAAAGTCAAAATCAAACATTCAAAGTGCAAAATTTATAAGCATACCTCATTGTTTTTGGATAACAGATCAAGAAAAACAGGATATGGAGCAAGCTCTTCAAGAAAGCCAGAGAGCACTACAACCCCACTTCTACTACCATTTGCTAGAATTATCTGGAAAGTGTGAAGGGTGAAATCCTTCATCATGTCCACTATGAGCAACTGCCATGCAGATGTTCTAGTTAGATGGATGTTTCCAGTGATGGATGCTACAGAAATTTTCTGTGTAGCTTACATAGGATGGAGATGTCAAATACAGTGCAGATGACTGGAGAACTTTTTTTATTTGATCAATTTCTACTATCTTTAAATTTTGCATGTTACTTGGCTAATTACTATTTTAGCTTCATGCTCCTGCTATGAATTAGCAGACACAATGGCCTTAACAATCAAAGCTCAAACATTATGGGATGGTAGAAATCATTTTATATCTGCACACCACAAAAAGACAATTTTAAAAGTTCTGTTTCCTGTTCTATACTAGTGGTCTCCTTTTCAGGTGAAAGTGTATTTAAATTGCAAATTTAACAGTTATTTTCCATTCAGCAACTTGTATTTCATCACTTCATGCTTCTCCCCATTCTCTTGTGCTTTGTCTATTCATCACACATATCCTGCTCCCTGTCAACTTTCTGTCTTCTACCTATTGTTCACTATACTCCCATTAGGTACTATTTTAAAATAAGGAGTACTGAAACAAACAGGTAACAGGGATTATGAGAGCCAGACTGTTACAGGCAAGTCATTAGAAGCTGGCTGGTTAGGAAGTTTCTCTTTACTTCCTAAACTCTGAAGTGCAGAACGAGTGAGACAGAGATCTGGAGAAAATATTTCTTAGGAAGAATAGGTCCTGGAAGAAAAGGAAAACAGACTTTTCTCTTTAACATAAGTTCATCATAACTATTCATTGTTATAGGAATGATAAAGGTCTTAGAGGTATTTTACTATATATGTACTGTACATAAATAAAAGAAAAACATATAAGCTTTTTCTACCCACACAACAGGTGGCAGAATATAGATTTTTTCCTTCAAGAGAATAAGAACTTTATACTTCTAAAAGACATAAAATTAGCAACAATACATTTGTAAACTACTATGGTCTTTAACAATTTAATTTTTAATAACTTCAGTTTTGCATTCTCCATGTGTCAGACTTACTTGGCAGCAGCATCTTTTCTCAGCTGTTCATGCTTCATTAGAAGATTTTTTCTGTCTTGGAAAGCCTTTCTAACCTTGTATCCTTTGTAGACAGCTTGGATTTTGAAGGCAGCAATGTCTTGTATGGCAGCTATAGAGAGAGCTCCATGTTCCAACATAAACTGAATTACCTCATGATGTTCACCAAGCAAAGCATAATCGAGTGGAGTGTATCTAAAGTAAGAGAACATACAAGTTTTAGGATGGATTTGATTTCCAATCACAATATATATTTTAGTTTAAAAGATGAGGCTGACGCTTAAATAATGATGAAGTTTTCAGTATAAACATTTAACACTGTTTCCTGAGAAACTTTTTTCCCCAGTTCTAAATAAAATGTTTTCCTTCATGTGACATATTCTATGGCAATGCACTTTTTTCTGTAGGGAATGTATAAACTAAATGTAAGTGAAAAATGTACATGGTGGAGGATTAGGAGGCAAGCTGGATTGTTTGCCTAAGCATTGCATTTCTGGGGACTTTACCCCAAATTCTGGCTTAGTTATTGTGTGAAAATTAGCTTGTATCCTTACTTTAGTTGTTAGCTAGTGAATATTTGTCCACATTATAATAATACCATATAAATAACATATATACATAAGTCAGAAAGGTTTACAGATTTGAGAAAGGATGACCAAGATAGAATAGCAGTTTACTATAGAACAGGATGTAGTCACCTTGACAGAGTTGTGTTACAAAATGACCATATTATGATTGACTACAGTCTCTAGTATTGTCATACTTCCATGAAAAGCAATGGTAAAATTTAAAAAAGGAACAATTGGAAGACAAAGTTCTATTTTTTTAAATGACTTAGGTGCTTGAGGGCCATTGCTTTTCATTTGCTTTCTAAGTTGCTCAGAGTTTTAAAATTTTTTTCCAGAGTTCACACAAACCGTAACAAGCAGCACAATGTACGTAGTATCCCCACTAGTATAAAAATGCAGATACTGAGCAAAGACATTTATTGAATGAAGATTAGCAGCACCAAACAAAAATGATGTCTACATAGTACAGCAAATTAAATAGTTATTGTCAACATATAAAATGGTAAATTAAGGATCCTCTTGATGGTAACCACCGAGGATGCAATGCAAATAAAGAAATGAAGTACAGACACAGAAAATCCAATTGGACTTGCCAGATGGAGATGGTTTGATGAGAAGATTAGAGTGCCTGAATTGAAATGTCAAGAGGAATAAAATCAATGACAGAATGTGGAAATTTGTATACCAAGGTGTGCTGCTGATAAAGCTTCAAATGAGACTTAAAGATTTGAGATCATTCTTGGACAGATATTTCTGACTTTCTCACTTGAGAAAAATCCATTAAAACTGTAGACATTCTTATGAATATTTTAATTAATATGCAAAAAGATACTAAAGAATAGTTTTAGGTTCCTATAATGTGAGAGTCAGTGGACAGTACACTCTGCTTAGTTTCAGTTCTGCAGAACCCTACTCAAGCAAATAGACATACTGGGTGCCTTTACATGTACATTGAGGCTGCTCTGATGCACTGTAATTACAATGCGTCAAAGCAGACTCAATTTAATCAAGTCTGCTGGAGCATGGTAATTACCATGTTCCAGCAGACTGCAGTGTCACATATATCAGCATCCCCAGGCTGAAAGATGGTGGTGGGGGCGCCTTAACTAAAGCTTGTTCAATGAGCTTTAGTTAAAGAGCCGACGCTGCCATTTTTTACCACAGGGATGCTGCTACTTGCAGCTGCTCTAATTAAAGCATCATCCCCCTACCCCATCCCATTGCCCACCCCTGCCTCCTGGATCACATGTATAAATGTCCACTGATTCCATCGGGGTTATTTGTGAGAGTAATGGCAGGCACATCATTCACAGTTACTTATGTTCACTTCATACAGTGCCCATTATCCTGTTGTCACGTTTTGCTTTTTTTGGACATTAGGACGTAGACGTTTCTGGATCATGTCAACGTTGTCTTTTTACAGCAAAGCACAACATTCTAGAGTTTCCAAGGGTAATTTGGCAGGAAGACATCAGTCAAACATCAGCTATCATGGCCTTACATGACCTAGCAATAGCAACAAATTGTGTTTACTTGGATCACCAGTGTGATCTATCAAAAATCTATGAAAAAGGACATGAGGAAATTAGAAGAGAGGATTATAATAAGGAGATACATTATAAGATATCCTATTGCCTAGGAGAAAATATTATTATATTACAACTTGATGTTATTTCAAAAAGGAATCCTTAAAAGATTTTTAGTATTATCTTGTTTTAAAACGTTTTGATTTAGACACATCAGATTTATTTAAATTTACCCTCAGTAAGATATAAGATTTAGGGCTAAGGTTTACAAATGTTTCTATTTTTGATTTATGAATATTAAATCTAAACCAAATAGTCTATTTTTTGATTGTATAAAGATAAAATAGGGAGCTATTAAACTTCCCCTAAAAAGCCCTATTACAAAATACTAAAGGAAGGTCTCCTTGGCATAAAGGCACTGCACATAATACCTTTACACTGGCGAATGTGAATTGTAAATATTCAATCCATCAAAAGCAAATTATGATGCCACCATTTTTTAGATTCCCTCACCCACTGCTTCGACGGGAATTTATTTGTGATAGCAAATGTCACTCTTGTGAGTGTAAGCACAACCTGCAAGAAAAGGTGTTTTCAAAGTTGCTTGTGTGAATTTCTTACAGTACTCATTACACCATTTGGCAAATCATACAATGTAACATCACTGCCAATGCAGTAGACTGATAGATCAAATATTTGCAGACGTGTAATTCTGGAAATACAAAAATGAAAGTTCCCATTAACAGAATGGCATATGTATTTATAAGACTAGTGTTTATGCTCCTAAATGTGTGGCTTGCAGTATCTGTAATGTGGTTGAGTTATTATAATATTATTGCTGCCCTAATATTTTAATTTCTTAAGGTTTGTGCATTTATGTTCTCAAATGTAATGCTTTATTAATGTAGTTCCATTTTAAATTTAATGTCTTTGTCTTTTAGCAGACAAAGAAATAACTACAGAAAAAGGAAGAAAGGAGTTATCAGGCCGTGTGTCAAATCAAGAATGGCCAAGTTTCCTACCCTTACTAGCTGCAAACCAAAAAACTTCATACACCTGGTAGCCTGCAGGACTCAAAATGTTCAAGGTGCACGTGGCTCAGACCCAATGATCCATGCACTGCACCCCAGTTTGCATAATAATTTGTCATGCAGTGACTTCTCAGAATAATTAAAAAGCAAGACCTGAAGAAAATAAAAAATAGAAAAGAGTAAACAAACAGATAAAGACTGAAATAATGTTTTTATTTAACTTGTCTTTCTTCAGGAGCTGCATGTATGCTTCTCAGGAGTCAAATAGTGGCTCATATGCTACAGTTAGTCCACTCTTATATTGGATCATGCTTTCACAGGGTGGAGGTATATCTAAATCTAAAATCTGGGGATACAAGTGCATGCAAATGCCAGGAGTGGAACAATGATGCTCCCTAGACACTAACAAGAATGGTATGATATTACTAAGGTAAAAATGAAGTCTGAGCACCACTGACCCATTTCTTATAAAAAGGTAGAATCCCAGCTAGCTGCCCAGTCCTCTGATACAGTAGCTGTTTTTATTCATCTAAATTAAAAGAAATTAAATTATAGCTGTTTATTTTCATTTTCTACTGAAAATCACTATAGAAAACATTAGAAGAACATACCTGGGAGCTACTTCATGCCTTCAATTGTAGTTTTCAATAGAAAAATGGAAGTAAATTGCTAAGCAAGAGGGGGAGCAAGGTCTCAGTGGTCAGAATAGGGAACAAAAGATAAATGATAGGGGGAAACAAGGCAATTAAAAAAAATAAGGGGAACAGGATGGAAGCCAAAACCCCTACAGCACTAATATATATCAGATTTTAAATAATTCTAATGGTTTTTAAAATGTTGATGTATTCAAATTTATTTGGCATATTGATCCATAATTTTTTTTATGATTGTGATGAGGTCATCTTCTTTAAAAGAGCCACCAAATGCATGCTACTGCTAATTACTGGCATAGTCACATGACCAATTTAAACTATCAAACTTAAATCATTTTTTAAAACTGTATTATTAAAAACTGTCAGTCAGAAACAAAGAAAACAGATGCAAATTTATCACCTCCCCATAATTATGAAGGGATTTCTCTTCAGTTGGAACATCAGAAATACAGTTAAACCACCAGGTAATTTGCAATGACTATTTTTAATTACAATTTCACTTTTCTCCCTTCTTTTTTTACCTGATTGCCCCTAATGAACTGAAAGGAAAAAATTCATTTCATTTTAATGAGAGCAGGACTGCCACCATATGCATATGATGTCAGCTTTGCATCCTTTATTTTCAGTGAAAATGTAGAAGAAAGAAGATGGCAGACAATTCTAGAAAGAGGATTTGGCAGTATTAAATGGCTATAGGAAAAAGAATGACCTAGCAACAAGGTGGGCAAAAGGGAAAGGACTCATTTTTTTAACTCTGTTAAGATGTATTAGGCATATAACATTCCACAAATATGTCACTGTTCTTGTCCAAGGTGCTGATTCTGCAAAGCTTTATGTTCATGCCTAACTTCACATGCAAAGGCAACCTTTGGCTACAATGTGTAACTCACAGAGGGTAAAATCAATTACACACAGATGTCTTTGTAGGACCACGGCCTAAAAGTACAATAGAGACCTATAACCAAAGTCTGAAAAGTTGTATGTAAAAAATGGAGATTTTAACAGAGAGATTTTCATATTATTTGCTGCCCTAAAACTATACCAGTGTTTTTTAGACGTGATCAGGTTCATGCTTCTTATGTGATATTTAAATCTGACACTCAAACCAGAGGCTAGCATGCCTGATAATTTAGAAAACAACATATTTAATAAAATCTACCTTTCTTCGCTGTTTTCCATGTGATTAGGGAAAGCATCAAAGCCCAGCAGCAACTTTATAGCATCCAGGTAGCCATTATTACATAGCCAGTGTAAGGCAGTCCTTCCCTATAAACAATAGCAACACAACAAAAATATATAAAGTAAGAAGTGTTGGAGTGTTTGTAGCTGTGATGGGTCAGGAAATATATGAGGGGCAAAGATTTTTGTTGCTGATATCTTTTATTTTGGACCAACTACATGATTTGGATAGATTTAAACAAGCTTCTAAATACAGGTCATTCTTTTTCAGAAATTTATTATCACCTACCTCCCTGTTGCCAGAAGGAAAATTCTGGCTTTGCAACAAGTAGTATTGTTCAGTGCTCAACTAGACATTACACTAGATAAATTGTTCCAAAGTCTATTTTGCCTTTTAAAACTAGAGTATATGAAAGTGAAAGCCACTGAAAAGTTTTTTTTTTAATGACAGATCAGGACCAAACCTTCACAAGTGCAAAGTTTATCTCTAATGTGGCTGAGGTTGACAAAAAAAATCTGGTTTTAAACTTCCTTTCTGCCACCTGAAATTAGGTTTTTGAGGGCCTGAAATAGCTCCACCTACGAGTGGTGCTCGCCCCTACCCTGGGGATCTTCAAAAGGAGGCTAGACAATTATCTAGCCGGGGTCCTTTGACCCCAGCATTCTTTCCTGCCCATGGCAGGGGTTTGGACTTGATGACCTGCTTAGGTCCCTTCTGACCCTACCAACTATGAAACTACTCTTTGGAATGTAAGGTATGTATGTAGTGCTTAGGGTAATGTGTGTAGTACTTTCAAGTAGCTTAAAAGTGAGCAGACAATGAACTGTTCTACAGTGCTACAAATCTATTGAAAACACACAAAAAAAACTCTGGATGACACAGAGATAACTCTGAAGTGCTTCTAAGTCATGCCTGGGAGAAAAGTACTGTTGAGACAAAGATCAGGTATAATATTGTGCACTCTTCCTCAAACCTAACAGGCAAAAACATCCTATGTGCATAGAAAGCATTAGGGGGCATCTTATTGGCCAAATCTTCCAATGCCAGTTCTGGGTCTCCCATGGATTCCGTGTTAGGAGAATCCTTAGCTTACTTGTTGGGACAATTATCTTGCTGTTTTAAATGACTGAATTCCCAGAACTCCCGATAGCCCCAGGTAACCTCTACATTTTACCAGCTACATTTTATCACTAGTCAACATTCCCCTCTTCCCCCCACCCCACCTCTACCTCTCACACTTATTAACTCCTATCCACTCTGATTTTCCCTGCCAGGCATTTGTATTTTCACAGACCTGCATTTTGCATATTGGTTTAAGCTTCTATCCCACCCAGGAGAATACACAAACACCAGCGGACTCTCCCTATTCCTGAAGAAGGGTGCTTGTGCCCTTCTTCTGTGAAATATTTTCCCAACTATTTAGTTGGTCCAATGAAAGATATCACATTTACCCAAAGAACCTTGAATTCTGCCTGAATTCCCAGAAAGCAGCTGATACCAAGGCCCAGGATTTGGGTCTCAGGTAACAATTTTACCATGTTTCCAGTTATCAGTGCAGCTGAATGTTCAAGAGGCTATTAACATATTGTATTTCCAAATTTTTAGATAAGAAAGGAATGGGTCAAATATGGCATAAAGTAGTATATATTATAGACTGGAGCAAAAGTTTAGCAAATTGGTTAGCAAACTCCCTATTGGTATAAATTGGTGCTGTTCTGATCTCAACAGAACTATACAAACGTACACCAACAGAGAATTTCTTTTATCATACAAAATCTGTTCTGGCACCAAATTTCATTTGTTGTCTGAGAGTCAGAGCAAAGGAACATACATACAAAGTATGTTTTTCACCATTAAGGACAAGTTTTTGATCAAATTTGCTCTACCCTCATTCATGTATGCTGGGGAGAAACATTCCATTAACTGTCAAGCTTTTCAGTTAGAAAAGAATTAAAATCAAGTAAAGGAACAAAAAGTTTTAGAAAGGATTCTCTTAAGGACATAGGTTGGTACAAAAAAGTCAAAAGATGCAAAAATGCGCTCCTTCAGTTCATGCTCTATAGTAAAACAAAGATTAAAAAGGGAACATTCTCCTAAGGCTGCTTGTCTTTCCCCTTCAAAAGAGTAAACACAAAAGCAACATACTAGCGGTGCAAATAGATAAGGATATTATGCTGCAGAAAAGAAAAGGATCCTCAGAAACATAAGGTCATAAGGGGCCACCTAAGCCATCAAGCCTACTCTTCTGCATTCACAGGCAACCGTTTATCCAAGGAGGCAGCAAAATTGCTACTTGCAAACTTCACATATACAACAATACCTGCAACACAAGAACGCTGTATAATATTGTCATAGGTAAAAGTATGGAAGGTGAGGGCACTATAAATGACTGGTTATTGTAACAACAGGGAAGTTGTTTGTTAATATGTACTCAGAAGGTCTTAGGAAAAGGACCATGCCCCACAGAGGAAGGCAACTACGGGGGGAAAAAAACTACACACCTCTTTATCTTGAATATTTGGATCTGCGTTATTTTCCAGTAACACTACCATGCAGTTAATGTAGCCTCCATATGCAGCACACTGCAAGGGAGTTCTTCCTGCATAATCCTGCACATTTGGGTTGATTTTGTTTTCTATCAGTATTTGGCATACATCAGCATTTCCTCCCAAAGCTGCCCAGTGAAGGGGAGAATGGCCATCCTGGTCAACCAAATCTACTCTTGCTCCCCCTGTAAAAAAAAACCCACAACATTTGAACATCAGAAGTAAAAAAACCCAGAAGGCTTGCACATAAGAGGAAGTGGAAAATAAAATATTCCCAGCATACATATAATAAATTAGAGAAATATTGTAAAAAATTCAGAAGTGTCCAAGCAATGTAAGAGCGTAAGTCCAATGTTCCAAAAATGGTTGGGGTGCTTAGGAGTTTCAGTAGAAGATGGTCATCTAACCCAGGGGTGTCAAACACATGGCCCATTGCCTGACCCCTCTACAAGGAGGTAAGCACTGTAATAATTACATTTGTTTTTGAAAAACTCAGTTTTGTTTTGCCACTCAGTTTACAAAAGTTATGGGGGAGTGTCCTAAGTCTAATGAAGGGTACCTTAAGTCTAAAAAAGTTTAGAGTCAAATTTAACAGGACCCAACAATATATGCCTACTCAGAACTGAAGGTAAAAGGTTTAATCTAGTCTCACTCACAGGAAAAAGAGAAAATAAATACATATTGAGGCTTTGAAAAGCTAAAATGTACTTGGAGAGATCAAGAGGGAGGGACAAATCTTTGTTTCAGGCATATATTTTGTTTTTCTATCCTTACTCTGCACTACATAGCAAATCATTTGCACAAGTACTGTTCTGTGAGGCATACTCTACATAAATCTCTCTGTTCACACAGAGGCATAACCAGGCAGGACTGCAACCAGGGTATTCCCTCTGCACCCCCTTTTGTACGTTCTTTGCTTTGACTTGGGAGGCACTGGTAGTGGTCAGTGCACAGGAGCAGAAGCTCACATTTGCTGCTGCTGAGGGAAGATGTCATCTTATTTTTTTTGCCAAAGAAACCAATGCTGAACAGGCAAAAATTCCGTTTTTGGGCATCAAAATCATCTCCCTCCAGAAGCTGTGAAGTCCAGCTGCTGCTGCTCAACAGAACTACATTCCCCAGAATGTCCTTCATTCACTGACACTCCTTTGCTGCTGCTGCTTGTTGCCAGGGCTGGTGCTGAAATTTGCAGGGTGAGTTGAGGATGGGAGGCTGAGGCACCCCTGCTTCATTCTTATGCCCCTTTCCCCTTAGGTAGCACCTGGGACATGTGCCCCAACTCACACATCCATCCATCCACTGTCTACAGCAGGGGTGGGCAAAATGATAGATCTAGCTAGCAGCTCAGCTCCATTTCCCAGCAGCCTCTGCCCACATCGCTGCAGCCAGTTTCCATGGAGACCCTAGCAGAAGCAGAGCCATGACAGCATGGGACCAGGGTTTCCATGGACAACGGCCCCAGCAATGCTGGCAGGGCATATGGCTGGGCAGGGAGCTGCTCCACGGCTGGCGCTGGGATCTTGCAGTGGTGACAGCATGGTTTGGAGTCAGGGCAGAGCCGCGATCCACTTCCTGCATGCCTCTGCCCAGGGTATGTAGGTAGTGGATCACAGCTCTGCCCCGGCTCTGGACCACACTGTCACCATAAGATCCCAGTCCCAGAGCAGCTCCCTGCCCAGGCACCCTAGCTCTGCACTGTCATAGCGATGCCACTCCTGGGTTCTCCATGGAAAATGGGCATAGTGAGGTGGGCAGGGGCTGCTGGGAAATGGAGTCCACTGCGGGCCTGATTCGTCTTGTGGGTTGGACTTTGCCTGCCTCTGGTCTACAGGGTTAACTTTGGACCCAGCAACATGAGTTATTTCAGAGCCTAAAAAAAGAAGTCTTTTAATTCTGAATGGGTTTGTAAATTTGTGACACTTTACCTTCAATAAGTGTCTGTATCACTTCTTTGTGTCCCATTTCACAGGCTCGAAAAAGAGGAGTGTGTTTCATGACATCAGTAGCATCTACCTGTGCGTTATGTTCTAAGAGCAATTTCACAGTGCTGACGTGGCCAGAAAGGGCAGCTGCATGTAAGGCTGAAAGAAAAAGGAAGAAAATCAAAATACCCTGGGAAAGGAGCAGGGTCAAAAATAATAATTCTTTTAAATCATGTTGATGAAAAGAACTGCCTTGCAGTCATAAAACTGTAAATGGCTAAAATGACACACAATCACTACTTTCCCTTTACCACACAAACAACATAAAATATACATGGTATAACAAAGTAGAATCTCTGATGGACATTTTTAATTCATGAAAACAAAGACTTTAACCTCACCAGAATTAAGAAGGATTTATACCATGGGCAGGCAATTATTTCATCCTGGAAAGCCACTTGATGAATTTTGGTGAGCTGTTGAAGGCCACAAGGGTATCCCCACCCCTTGGCAGTTGCCCTGTCCCCTGGTCACCACTTTGGGACCAGAAGTCCTGCCCCTGACCTTTGCCACTGGAAGTCTCTCCTTACCCAGGAAATACTTCTTTGGGCAAGGGCTTCCTTGTATATAGTGTGGGGGGTTATGGGTGTGTATGTGGGGGGTGGTTGAGGGAGTATGTGGTTTGTGTGTGTGTCTGGGGTGGGGTATGGTAGGCATGGGGGGTGTGTGTGTGGGATGTGTGTGGGTGTGGAACGTGTGTGGGGGTATGGGGTGTATATGTGGGCATGGTGGTGGTGAGGGGCCATGGGGGAGTGTGAGAGAGGGATGTGTGTGTTTGGGGGGTGTTGGTGTATGTGTAGGATGTATGTGGGTGTGTGGGTGGATATGGTGGGGGGTGGGGGGGTTGGGCCCTGTGGGGGGCCTACCCCCCTCCCAGCTTCTCCCCGGCCCGATGCCTGCCTGGCTCACAGTGCACTGCAAAGGGGTGGGAAAGCAGCTGCCACAGGCAGGCAGTGAGGGAAACCTTCAGGAGAATGGAGAGGGGATGGGGAACTGAACCTGATGCCACCACCTCTCTTGGTCTCTGTCCCATGCCTGCCTGGCAGGGCTGCAGCCAACTCTGCAATGGCTCCTGCTGCTGCTTCCACCTCATCTGCCTGTCCTGTGCTTGCCTGGCAGAGGTGTAGCCAAGCCTGCTCTGGCTCCTGCTGCTGCTCCCACCCCACCTCCCTGTCCCATGGCTGCCTGATGGGGCTGCAGCAGAGCCCATGCTGACTCCTGCTGCTGCTCCCACCCCACCTGCCTGTCCTGTGCCTGCCTGGCAGGGCTTTGTGAGCAGCTGAGTTCCTTCACATTCCATCTCCATCCTTGGGCTCCCTTACCCAGCCATGTACAAGCTGTGCCTGCTGGCCAGGGCTGGAGCCCTTCAATGGGGGAGGCAGGGAGTGCAGCATTTGCTGCCCCAGCTGGGAATGGGCAGGGCTCAGCTCCATGCAGAGCACAGCAGGGGCAGCCACTGCCAGGCTGGATACAGTTAATTGGTGGGTGCCTGCCTGTGGGCCATATCCAATCAGCTGGCAGGTTGGAACCAGCCTGCAGGCTGTATTTTGCCCACAACACAAACACTTCAGCAAAGCCTGAGGCTGTTGGAGGATCTTAAGATGTCACAGCATGCATCTACACATGCTAAAGTGACGTAAACTTTGGAGCAGTTCATGCTAGCTAACTTGTCATGGGTGCAGTGTCTACATGTGCACCTGGGACCACAGCAATTAGAGCTGGGGCCCTGGGCTTGCAGGGTGCACAGGAGTTCAGCCCTAGGCTGCAAGTAGTGGTGTCAGGTGGTGCTGGGCAGGAGCTGGGGGGTCTGGCCCCCAACTGTCTGGGCTGACCGGGTGCAATTTGCACCCAGTGATTACCGTTCACAAACGTTTGATTACAGTTAATTACTCTGCCATAAGATAGTATTATATTATGGCAGAGTTAATTAATTTACTGTGCCCTAATAGCAGTGTACACGTGGACAGTGATGCTTTACTGCAGAGCTAATTAGTCAACAGCAGTAAAGCACAAGTACTCACTGGCTTGTAAATAAGATCGCTATCAGCCACAACTTCATCCCTCTGGAGTTTTCATGTGTACTTGATGAAAAATTATGGAAAATGAAAATTTAGCTAGCTGTGGATTGCTTTTTATAGAGGGTCAGACCTCACAGAGTAATGAGATTCCAAAAGATTTGTTAAAATGGAATGAAAATGCTTTGGAGTTTTACTTGAAATAAAGATTTTAAGTGCTTTGGAGTACTTAATATTTATAAATCCAAATAATTAGTTGAATCGTAAAGGAAAATAGTGTCAAATACTAGTTTAGTATAGTTTAGTTTCATTAACAAATTACTTCTCTGATGACACAAGTTCTGAACAAGAATGAACATATAAACATGAAATAGGATCACAGTATTGTTGCAACTATGATGATGCAGGATATTTGTGAGAAGCAAGTTTTGTTCAGTAGCATCTCTGTATTTGGAAGAGACATTAGACAAGCTTTTGAGTACAAAATGCCCAGCTATATACTTGATCTAATTAAAGATATTACCAAATTCTATTTCTTGCATAACAGAAAAGTATATTTGTAAATTGCAGCCATGTTAGATTAAATACATAATCTATATATCTATACATTATAAATAATGTATAAATTTATAATGTGTAAATGGATATATAAGCTTCAATTGATAGTTCATAAGTTAATTTATAACTTCCTTTACCTAATCCAGCTTTATTTAAAATTTGTTTTATTCAGAGAGTAAAATAATGGGCCTCCAGCAGTGTTTGGGTGTTAATTGTCTCAGGAAAAAAATAGGGAGTGCTAGGCTCTGACCATTCCACAGCAGGTACATCAGGGGCAGATGGTAGAGCACAGGGGGAGAACATGCCCACCTTTTGTGTCCCTGTGGAGGGAGGGTTACAGTTTAATGCTGTTGAAGGACAGCTTGATGGTATCTGCAATATAAGATATAAGGGCCAGTGCTGAAGGAATTAACTGCTGCACACTATTGCAGGTAGCTGCAGTGACCAGTATTTTGAAGTATTATGCCTATTTGTTTGACATAGGTTGAGCGCCTTGTTACCAATAGTGTAATAAGCAGTGGGTAACTGGGGTGCAAGTCCTGGGTGTCCATTTAAGAGGGAGTGCAAAAATGGCACCTGTTGCTGGCTCAGCTACAACTGCTTTTGAAATCAGCCCCTGCCACCCATGGCTTCACCTTTGCTCTTGGCTTTGTTGCTGATGAATCCACATTCCCATTCTAAAGGCTGCAATTTGGTTCACAGAGTTTAAAAAGAGCTAGTAAAACAAATCCATCAAAAGTCTGCTACCTTCATACCTGAAACCATAGTATCAGTCCTCATTTTTCTACAGAACAAGATGCCAGCTCTGATGCACATTTTTTTTAACAAAAAAATATATTTTTAAAATCATATCAATGCTATCATGGATAAAAAATGACTAAATGGTATAAGAGCTTTTGTAACACTAATGAAAGGAACTCAAAAGTGCCAAAAGCTTCACTAGGGCTAGGGACAGACATTCAAAAAGCCTGAGCCTGAATGGATTCCATCTTTGCAGGTTAATCTAACCTAGCTAAACTAAACTGGTTTGTAACTGTACAAACATCCCCTCTGGACTGAAGAAATGCAGAAACATGCCTGCAGTGGCTCAGGTTAGAAGCTGGGGGGGGGCGGGTGCTAAAGCAGTCCTCCCTTCCCTTCCATAGTGCTGACCTAAGGCAGGGTCATGGCTAGGCCCTGGCATAATGCTCTGATTAGGTAGGGTTCCCACCCCCTCGCTGTTGATAACAGAGCATTGAGTTACACACCAGGGAGTTACACAGGTAGTTGTTAGTATTTATCAGCCCATCAAACAAAACAAAAGCCTCTCTCATTAGTTCAAGCTCTTCTTAAACATTTTTTTCCAAGGAAGGAATGGAGAGACATTACCAGCTACCTGTTGATTAGCTCCAAAAAGCCCAAGCCAACACTGTCCTGTCTGCCTTTGTCCTGTCTCCCACAGCATGGACCGTAGCCAGCACGTTGTATGCTAGTTAATGCTGAGAGATATCTGTGTAAGGCAGAGGGGAGGGGGGAATCCTTGCTTGAGCAGGGAGTTGTGAGGGGTGGGGTGGGGAGCAGGAAGAAGCCAGTCAGACACCACTGTACCTGCAATCTCTGCCAGAGCTCCAGCCAGGAAGGAGAGGGGCGGGGCCAGCCTTCCTGGGCTGGAGCAGAGAGCAGAGCCCCACCCAGGGTTACAAAGCATCTAGGATGCTGGAGGGCTCTGATTTAACTTAAACCTGGAAGGGGTCTGGGACAGACATTGCATAAACCAGTTTGACCCAAATCAGTTCAGACTGATATTACATTTAACCAGATTTATCTCAAACCAATTTCAGCCATTTTCAAACTGGTTTATGTGTACAGAACATCTGTTCTGTTACAGGTTTAAACTGGTTTCTGATCACTTAAACTGGTTTATGTGTAATGTTTGTCTCTAATCTAGTAGCTTGGCTGGGTAGGGAACTATGAATGATAATTTGACAGTGAAGTCTCTGCTGTATAGTACATCTGGACAAGTCTTATTTTCATATTCTGACCTCAGAAAAAACCTTAGGTTCTGCTTTTCTGTATATTTCCACATATGAAATCTAACACAGTAAACTTTTCAATCAGATGACATACGGGGCATGTGTAACAATACAATAGAAAAACAGCTGCTGTGTCAGCTTGGCCTGGTTCTTTCCCTCCATCACTCATTCTGATGTAGGCATCTTGTTTCCCACTCTGTGCTCAGTATTTTCTTGTAAGCCAAATTTTCTGTGATGGAGTCACGGTGACTGAAGAAATTCTTCAGCCAGCTGGTCACAATAAAATCTTTGTTCCACCGACAGACAGAGCCCTCACCATTGTACACACTCAGTGACGGCAAAGCTATAAAGCTGCCCCTGCAGTGCTGATCTCTGAGAAAAGTGAAATTCCTTTTCCTTGGTGTCATTTTCCTAAACAATACAGAACGTCTTGATGGAGATTTTCCTCTTTATAAGTAAATGCAAAAAACTATGTTAATGTAATGTTACAGCTGAGCTTTATCCATCTTGTGCA